TTTAAATGCCGATGAAATGATAAACATTTATTTCACTCAAGAACCAATCAAATCGCAGGCAGGTGATCAAGAAATTCGCAGAAAAAATATTTTTCTCTAATAAGTTAATGTACAAGTTTTCACCAAGCCTTATTTTATAGCTGCAATAATAATGCTGAATTTATAGAAGTAATAAAAAATATTCTCGTCGACATGCTAATTCTGTCTTCTTTAAATCCACGAATGTTTTTGATAATTATTAAATAGAAGCATGTGAGGACATTCTGAGACGTGCTGAAAATTAAAGATTTTTGCTGGTCTAAGCGCCATGATTTGATTCCTTCTTTTTATTATAATGAAAGTCAAATGATGTCATTTTTTTTGTCTATTAAAATATTTCAAACGAAACAGTTTCTTTCATTCGCCTTCACTCACTTCTTTCACGTCTCATACACGAATATATGTAGGCTTCATATATGTGTATCAGATCTTGTGTGTGGGTATATCTGTATGAGTGTTACATGCCATAAAACCTCTTTTTTTTACTCTCTCGTCTTGTAACGAGACAAAAAAAGAAACCTTCAGGTATCAATGCATCAACATACACAAGTCTTTTTTTTCATTTCCATTTTCATCGTTTGAAGTTGGAAACATATACAAAATTTATATTCTGATTCATTACAAGACTTCTTAGTCCCGGTGTGTGATTTTGTCGTGTTTCATAATTTCTGCTCTCTTCTGAAACAGTTTTTGTTGGTGGAAGAATGAGGAATAAAAGAAGAAATGAAAGATAAAACTTTCAACGAGTTCTTTTGTGCGATGCAGTTTTATCTCAATTGCGTTCTGTCTCCTGTTTCTCTTTTTTTTTTCTTTTTGGGGGTTCCAAGGTTATTTAAAGAGATTTTTTGAGAGAAATTATTTTTTGTGGAGTTCTAGAAAATGAGAATTGAGCGATTCTAAGTTTATAGGAATGTGAGTTTTTGTTCTAGACTCTTTTTTGGATATTTAATTTTGGAACGTGTCTATTATCTGAGAGATATTTTAACGTTGTTGTATATCATAAGAAATCTGATAATATCTATGTGTAGGGTCAGTTCTGAAAACATCCATCAATAGGTGCTGACTATAACTAGTCTTTGCTTTACCTTTCAGTTAATGATTACCCAATCAGGCTATTCATACTCATTTAAGCATCATTATACAAGGTTTATCATCTTAGTAACAATTTATTAACTGACACGAGTCTTAAGAAGGGTAAAATATGGCAACATAGCAGTGTCAAATGTTTAATTTAGTATCTTGTGGCTAGAATAGTTTACTTTTAAAAGTCCATAAACATGATTTGACTTAGAAGTGTGTTTTTAATGGCATATTCAAGGATGATTCACCCGAACAAAGCATTTTTCGATTATTTCCTCAAGAAATGTCTTTCAAATGCCTGTTAGTATCAAAAAATTCCTAATTTCACATCCTTCACAATCCCCTCCCCAATTTTCATTGTCAATTGAAGACAAAGCAATCAGTAAATCACGAATTTAAATAACATGTTCACATACTTATGATAAATATTGTGAATGTCAGCAAATGTTAAAAAAATTAAATTAAACCTTATCAAAAATTTATTAATTCACAACTGCTAATTATTATGAAATTGTAGAATAAAGTTACAAGTTTTTAATAAATTTTCCATGACGAACATGGAATGGCAGTGCGTTGCGAAATGCCACAAAAAGTACATATATATGTCTCATTACGTTTTAAGATGAAATTGTAGGGCAAGCAGAGAAATAAGGCAAGTAATGATGATGATGGAACCTCATACATATTGCATATCACACTTTACGAAACATTTTCTTCTTCTTATCTTCGTGCCTTTTCATAAAGCAAAGAGAGAGAGAAATAACATTTTGTGCAGCACAAAGCATTATGCTGTTTATTTTGCCATGTATTGTTGAGTAAACTAAAAAGTGATTGTGGTATGTGCTAGCTGTTTAAATTGTATTGCGAATGTTGGAACTAAAAATAACGAAAAGAGCCACACTTGAATTTTTTTATCTTTGATGCATTTGAACGTTGTTGGGAGCAGGGTTGGTGTCTGCTGACTATTTGGTGCTAAAGATTTAACTAGTTTTAACTAGCTTTGTATAATCATCTGAGCTGCATTTGGTACCCACTCAAAGATACCCAACCAACAACTCTGCAGTCGAGACATCTCTCTGTTTTGAGTAATAACCTTCAATTGATGATTATTTTAAGAAAGGTCAGTAAATACATTTTTTAAATCAGTAATTTTGCCGTTTACTTAATATTTTTTTATCAGAAATTTACTAAAATTACGGGTGATGAAAATTGACGACTGAAACTGTTAAAAATTGAGTAATTTTTACTCGTAAATTGTAAATTTTATGCGATTTTGTTTATGGATGTTTTAGATTGAAAATTGCGGAGAAAATGAGATTTCTGTGTGGTAGGTTTCGCTTAACAAATTATCACAAGATAGAATCAAGATATTATTAATTAAAATATTATGTAAGAGTTTTTTTAAAAAAGCTATGAGTAAATTCCTGCAAAGGAGTGGGCAATGTTGTCAAATTTGCTATCGTATCATTACAGTTAAGGCTTTAGAATGATTGTAGTCCTAGATTTTAATAAGCTTTCATGCTATTTTTAAACATTAAGTTCAAATGACTGAGTAGAGAAGTTGTCAAGCACAACGGAAGCTCAAAATCATTTATACCATCTGACCGAATCATAGGTTCGAGTCTCAATAAGTTTATTATAATAATTTCAATTCATAGTATACAAGAAAACATTGAAATTTTAATAGCACCACCCTCAATCCCCCTCCTTGATCTTAACTGAACAATCTTGACCAACACATCAATATAACTGGCATCATAACTTCACAAACTTGAGAATGAGTTCCTAAAATAAATTCATAGCACTTACTCCATATAAAGTAAACTTAGTCAACTATCCCCTCATTACAGAAACCTTAAAAATTCTCATTAATTCCTATTCATTTAAATCACAACAAAAACAAGCTCCAATTCCTCGTATTTTTTCAAAAACAAACTCACAAAATCCCTCAAAAACCTCAACAACATTCACTCTAACTTAGTCAATTGCTCACTTATCATTTAAACAATTATCTTATTCCGATTTGACCCCAATTTGCTAATTTTTTCTCAGTATTTTACAGCACACACATGCATTAGACAATATTTCTGAGTAGTCATGCGGAAAATGTACCCAATTTAAATATATAACCAATAAATTTAAGAAGCATGCACAATAAAATGAAATACGACCCAAAAATTTGCATTTTAGATGACTCAAAAAAAATTGCATTCAATTCCTATAAAAAATTTATTGCGCCATTTTGAATTTATTTTCAATAAAATATTAAGTATAAAAATTCGATGAATGAGATTGTGAGTATTAAAAATAAAAAAAAAAATCATAAATGTTGTGTGTGATTGTTAAGTGGGCTATAAATTAATTATCAACATTCGTCTTATAAGAAATAATAAAAAAAAAAGAATCTTTCGTCTCGACACAGAAAAAAATTAAATATTTTAATTCCTGTGGCAAAAAATAAAATAAAATTTAATGTGACTAGAATTTTTAATAAAGTTTGACGAAGAAGACATTGACAAGACAAGAAGAATTGTACGTGAGATATAATAATACACGAAAGTGCTAATTTTATGCAAAAATAAACACCATGAAATAAAGTGAGCAAACGAGTAACTAGAACGGCAGATAAGACACGAAAAATTACTTAACACAGCCATTATTGGGGGGAATTTGGATGTGACGTCTACCATTTTTAAGTTCTTTTAATAGTCTAGGAACCGAGTGGCATTTATTTTGAGTCATATCAACTTTAGAACCCTTCCCTAATTTTTTGGAGCTAAGGTTGTTGTTCAATATGACAAAGCAGAAGCTTCATTGATACATACTTGCTGCACACCCCACACTTCTTACAAACTTGTGTTAGTTTCGACTTTAAAAAAAGTTTTCACATTTGACATTTTAAAAGATAAATTATGGTAGAAAAAAAAGGTCACAATGATAAAAAATCTGATTTATAAAATTCAATTGAACTGGCAGCATGCACAGTAACTGAGTTAATATAACGGTTCATGTTTTTCTTATATAAAAAAAATTATATACTCATTTTTCCAATCAATTTGAGTTCTTTTTTCGACATATTGTTCTTGAAAAACTGGAATTTTTTTTTGTCATCTTATGCTGGTTGCCGACTCGTTTTTCTTCCATCAGCATCATCTTCATCATACGATGATCATTTTGAGTGGCTTAAGTCATCGAGCAAAAGTTTTATTTCATTTTATTTTGGTGATTTGTCAAGTTTAAATTTCTGATAGCTACTGCTAAGGTTTTCAGATCGGTGGGAGAGTTTAAGTTGGGAGGAGGTGAAGGCAATAGACTTTTAGCTATGGGAATCGAACTTTCGTTGATTACTAGAGTCGCCCTAGACTACTAGCTGCTCAATAGCTGATCAAATAGACCACATTATTGAAGATACTAGTTGACCCATAACTTAAGTAAGTTAAAGTTTGACTAAACAGATTAAAATAGCAATAAAATGACTTGCAAACAAATTATTTCAGCCATTAAGTACCGAAAATTCCCCAAAAAAAGTATTTGGAAAATTCCAGATATTCTGATAAGGTGAAGCACTTGAATGATGCAATATAAATAGCATTTGATAAATTCCAGTCAGTGACAAGTGCCATGATGATGTCGTCTATTGTGACAATTCTTATCTCTCATTTTTTTCACATAAAATAGTTGAGTTGATAATAAAAAAATAATTCACCAGGACTGACAGTGAAAAATTGATAGACACCCCAAAATAAAATCACTGCATGTCTATACATTCTTGTGGACATAATAACAAAAAAAAAGGTTTATTTTTTAGGCACACACATCCGTGAAAGACACAAACTCACTCACTCACTTTATATATTTTATGTAAAATAATCTTTACTTACGTCTTTAAAATTTCTTTTATTTTCTCTTGTCTCGGAGAAAGAAAAACACACAAAACTTTATTTTCTTCTTTTTTTTCTTTTACTTCTTTTCTTATATTTTTTTTTATCTTTTTTGTTTTACTTTTCTTGTTGTGTAAAAGGTGAAAAAATTTTTCTTAATTTTCAACTGAATTATTGAAATTTATTTTTTCAGATGTTCTCAGCTAAAACTTTCCTGCTTATTTTAATTTTTTTATCATATCGTCGTCGTAATCCAGTAAAAAGCAGTTTTTGAATGGAAGAAAGAGAACAAAAAAATAATAAATAAATTTTTATCAATTTTCACTTCAACTTTTTTTTTCTTATTATTTTTATGATTAAAAATCAACAAACAAAATTAATATCGATAACAAATTTTATAAATATTATTTTTTCTCAAGAATAAGGCAAACTTGGTTTCTATGTGTATCGACTTAATGACGCACTAAATTATATGCACACTAAAACAACTAAAAGGTAGGAAAATGATTAAATGCTGAAGGAGAATGAAAAAAAAAATCAAGACACACCTGTTGCGCGATCACGTTAGCACACACGAAAATTTGATACTCAACTGACTCTCGGAATTTTACAATCGTACAGTTTTAGTCTGCAACGAGTGAGCTTTTGAGAGATCGGAGAGAGAATTTGTGTTGCATGATCAGCTGAGAGAGTTTTAAGCTATTTGAGAGAATTCTCAAGTTACGGCACTCACATGTACCTCTTGATCATCTTCCTTAGTATTTCATCATATGTGACGGAATTTTTGTAAGATCCTCAAAATCTAAAAACGCCGGCATAAAAAAGCTTTAATTAATTTTTTAATAATTGTTCCACATTCTCTTTATCTTTTTTTTAATATTCATTACAGCTGACACTTTCAAGTGCCATTCATCATCATCATCATCAATGTCGGTCATTATCGTGCGTGGTGCTGTTAATAGAGATTACAGATGATGCGTGGATTTTGTTCAGTACTTGCATGTAATTGTGAAATACTGTGTTGCTTTGGGATGTTGTTGGAATTTCTGTAAAGTTTTTTCTGAGAAATTTTAGTTGTTGGTGATTTTCTGCAGAATTTGCTTTAGACTTGGCATTAGCAATTTTGAGATTATGATGAATAAACAAGGCAACAGGTCTCTATTAAGATATTAATAAAAAATTGCCACTTTCTTAAAGTGTGATTTAGTGCCGTGCTTATCTAATTCTTAGATAATGATGCAAACATTAGGATTTATGTTCTAGGGACGCCCTACCATAGCTGTGGTAACCATACTTAATTTTTGAGTCCAGCGTAGGATTCTTTAAGTTGCACAATATTAATATGCATGGGCCACATTGGAATCTGAGCTATAATTTGGCTGAATTTCAAATTCTTGATAGCTGTGTCTGTATTGTAGAATTTATTTATCTATTGAAAAAGGAACAAGTATTGGGGTGCTGAGGACATCGTCAAATAAATTCGTTAACCATTTTCAGATAACAAAGTTATATTATTTTGCAATTTAAAAAAATCATCCAAATTAATTAAAATTTTGATTCCTGCATATTTTTGACAATGATTGGACATTCAGTCCAGCAAATAAAACTCCATAAATCACTCAAAAATAAAAGAATCTTAGAACTGACAATTTTATTCTCAAATAAATTACTATCAAATTTGTGTGTCTAAAAAATTTTCAATCCACAACAGAACTTAGTCCATAAATCGCAGGATCGCTGACACAAAATAATTCATTATCATTATTATTTTTTTGGAAGTGATGTGTGAACAAATTTGAGCGATAGCGTTCAGTCAATCGCCGCAAACACACAAGAGTGAAAAAGAGTCAAGAAACTAATCCACGAAATGAATAATAAGGTCATTCTGGCATGAAAGCAAAGCGACACGATGATAAGAGTGAAAAAAATAAATAAATTTCTAATTGACCTTCACTCTGCTCGCATTTTCAAGTCTTTATTATTGAAAATTTCTGTTTTTAAAAATAACAAATTTGCTTGAAAATGAATCTGCGCACAGTGTTTAAAGTCAGTCGGAAAACCGGGTGGTCTTTTTGATTTTTTTTCATCTCCTTCTTATTGTTACATTTTTTTTGCTACACGCTTTCCTTTCGTGATACGATCTAGTGACTGTTGTTTCTTCCTCCAACTTCAAACGCAATAACAATTGAAGAAGAAGGCATAAAACTTGCAAAAAAAAAACAATTTTTGTAGGTGTGTGGATGAATGCATTTTTTGAGAGAATCTCGCTCGATTATTTCAAATGAGAGACTTTTTTTGAGAGAATTTGACTAAGCGAAAAATTTGTGAGGTTTTAAGTCAAAACTTTATATTTGAAAGCTTAAAACCCCTCAAAAGTTTGATCCACAACGATCTTTCGTAATATGATTTTTTTTCTACCGTTATAAGAAATTGAAGCCTAGCTAATTTAAATAATTGATGAGAATACCCACGCATGGGAAAAAATGAAGACATATCGTAAATAAAGATCATCTGATTAAGCTTAATTTATTCATATTTAAACTATTGTGCATTCGTTTTTATTGCAAATTATAATAAATTATGTTGCCGCAAAGAATCTTGCCAAAATATTAAGAAAATTTTCATTTTATAACTCAATTAATGAGGAAGTAGTTGAAAATGATGCTGTGGGTTAATGAAAACGAGAGCAATAAATAATAATAATAATAATAATAATTTAAAGCGCATTTGTTATTTGACACTTAATTTCTTGGCTAGGATACATGTAGGCCCATTGCTAAGCATATGGAATGTCTTAAATTGTCTAAAATTGGATCTGCATGTTCGAAATCTTCTTTTACTTCAAGATTTCATCGTCGTTTTCATCTTTAATAGCTTTTTGGTCTTTCTTGTGATCTGTTGTTGTCCACAGGCTCTGTTTTTGGTAATATTAGAATTGGAATGTTATGTGACTATCCGCTTGTGAGTTTCAGAGTTTCTGAAGGAATCAAACCTAGACTCTTCACAAAAAAACCTAGCTGACCACGTATCTGAAATCTATAGACAAATTGACAAATCACAACTTACAAAACAATGACCAACAAATCAAAAAGTAAATAAAGATTACGCCAAAAAAAATTAAGCATCTGTTCTTTGCGATGTGAGAATTGAAACAAGCCAAATCGCTAAGCAAGAATAAAAAATTTAAAATAATTGCAAAATTGTGTTTATCGAATTAGTTCATAAATTTAATTGAGTGTTAATTTATGAAGCATACATAAAAAAGGCAATTGAAATATTTGAACATAAAGCTGATTATCAAAAGAAAAGTGTTGCTCTAGTCACTTCCGTTTACTTAATTGATATTCTTATGTAAACAGATTTTATTCACCTATCAAGTTTGAGTGTTGAGTCTGTCTGAGTGGATAAAAAAGCACGCAAAATAAAATTCCACAAATGCCACAGGAACGAAATGTAAAAAAACTTCTTATTTTTCGCATGTATTTTTATCCTCAAATTCTCTTCAAACTGATTTAGTTGATGCGATGCAAACGACGACTAAAAATAGACTTTTAAGTATTTACCCATAAGCAATTTGACAGAAAACGAGTGAAAGATTAGTCAAAAAAAGACTAAAATAATTAATTCATGTTGACATTTTGCCTCTTCTTCCGTCTGTTCAATAGTCTGAGAGCAGAAGCTGTGAAAATTTTTTCAATCACATGAGGGACGAGAATTGCATAATTTTGGCTAGATGATGTGAAAAAAAAAGAAAAATTTAATTTTCATCGCTATGCAAAATTGTTGCTTAAAAGGTGAAGAATTCAAAAAGGGAATGAATTGTGCAATAGTCTTTGTTTATTTATGAACTCTTCAATGCTAGTTCACAACTATTATTTTTTATGCTATGCAGAGGCAAAGAAAGGCTAGCCCGATCGGCACACATTCATTGAAATGATTGCCACCCTGCAGCCAAGTTGATAGTATAATTAGAACCAAGCTGCAGTCAATTGGCAACCACTTGACATCCAGTTGGAAATGGCAACTAAGCAGGGTTGCGATACCGGCACTAGTGCACAGGTGAGAACCGTACAATTCCTCGATAATTTATAAGGCTTTTCAAACAAAACCATATAAATCTATCTAATTATAGTATCGACCCTGACAGGTCGCAAACATTTCAATGTGTGCCGATCGGGTACATAAAATATATTTATTTAAACAAAAAATATTCAAAATTAGCAATTTAAAAAGTTCAGGATTTTCTGTAAAAAAAATGAAGTTCAAGTTCATATTTTCTATGTCCAATAAATTGTAATTCATTCACATTGTATGGGCAAAATCAAGAAATTTTATAAACAATTTGATTTTAAAACTTCAAATGATTTTTCAATTTCCAATTTCATCAGTCACTCCACAATTCTCCCAAAAAATGACATCACCCAGCACTTGATAAAAACTTGATATAATGGAAGTTAATAAAATCCATTACAGAATCAATTTTCATGTTTTTAAAATAGTCTTCTGTTTTTATTTAAAATTTAATAACAAATCATTTTAGAGACACAACAATGCGAGAACTGTAAATGCCAGAAATACATCATAAACTACCGAAATTGACTAATAAAGCTTCTTAAATTTCAACATCAAAAGAAGTGTTCTTGATATGGAAAATATGTGTGACAGATCTCATTCATGACAGCATACGTAACATTATTGTTGATACTTTTTTTCGTTGTATTTTTTGAAGATCATTGATGCATTGCATGTGGATGTTTTCATTATTGCCATAAAACATTGAAGCAACATTGAGGCAACATTGGATCAAAACATGATCACGTCTGAATGTTTTTACATCTTTAAGTAGCCGAAATAAATCCACAGAAAAAGGTATTATGTGATTTGCACAAAAAGAAGTAATTGAATGGGTAAGAAATCAGCGTTTGTCTTAAAAACCGATGAATTTCATCATCTAGAAGCTGATTGTCAAGCTAAACACATCTCAGCACATATCATCACGTAGAAAATGCGAAAAGAGTCCATAAAATTTTTTTTGGTGCAACTTTGATGACTGAAATTTTCAAATATGACGTTGCAGCCGTCATCAGTTCTCGATCTCCGCAAAAAAACACAACAATCGGAATGAAAAAAAAAAGTTTTTGAAAAGGAAAGGAAAGAAGAAATAAAGCTGAATGTTGTTCGCTCAATACTTATTATATACTTTATTTTCTTTCCTCTACAACGTGAACTGAGCCACACATTCAGTTCAGTCAGTCATTCAGAAACTGTTGAGTAGCGAGGAATACAGACAGTAATATTATTTTTAAACAACCTTAGCGGCTTCTTGCGTTTAATTTTATTTTAATTTTTTTTATTATTTTTGCTTTTCGCGATTGTCTCTTTTTTGTGTTATTTTTTTTGTGGAATTTTATTTGCGTATGTCGGGATATATCTCCGGACAGTAGCTGTGAAAAGAAGACATAAAAGTGAGAAACAACAAGTGTGTTTTCCCAATTCCTTCATAATCGTGTGATTTAGTCACTGTAACAATTAATAAGAAAAATAAGAAGAAAAAATAAAAACATAAAAAAAATTTATTTTGTGTGAATTTTTTTTTTCTTCATAAAGTGCGAAATAAAAAAATTTTAATAGTCAAATATAAAAATTGTTTCAAATGACACTGATAAGTAGATGAAGTGTGGAGGAAATTGTGATTTATTTTTAGTCGACTTAATTTAATTTATCGCTACGTGAACTCTAGTTTTGTGTGCTAAATGTGAAATTTTATTTTTGCGAAAAAATAAAATAAATAATTTTGTGTTTGTGGAATCGATCGAAACTTTTGATGTTAGAATAAATATCATAATTAGTCAACTTGTTGTGGAATAAAAATTTTTTTAAAAGTCGGTAGTTAAAAGAAGAAGGAATCACAGACAGGAAAGAAACTTATTTTAATACGATTACGTGCGAGGACAGGAAAAAAAATTCCCATATTGGATTTGTGCATTTTATTCGAGAATATTGGGTAAGTAAATGTCATTTTGCGGATGTTTGCTTGTTATGTAACGTTTAAAAATTTTGAATTCTTTTTTAAAAAATATAAAATTCATATTTTTAAATTAATGCATTTTTTTTTGTGGGATTTTATGTGACTAGTGGCTTATAGTAACTACTAGCTAGGAGTGACTAGTAGCTAGGATGAAAAAGAAGCTAATAGTGACTAGGAAATAGTGATAATTAGTAGCTAGTAGTGACTAGTAGCTAGTAGTGACTAGTAGCTAGTAATGACAAGAAGCTAGTAATGACAAGAAGCTAGTAGTGACTGTTTAGTCTTGCTAAATAGCTTTTATCCAAAATCAAGTCTCAATCTAATCTGATAGCCAGTCAAAAGTACACTCACGGCTAATGAACCAATCTCAAAAAAATCTCTATTAAGCCATAACCGTAACAAGCAAACAACCCCCACAAACATTCTATCATCATTTCCCTTTCTACGGCTATTTATTTGACTTTGTCACAATGTAAAAGGTCTCCACCCCGTGTGCAGCCTTAAGCCGTTTATTTATTATATAACATCTTAATAATAATCATCATTCTGATATTTTTCACATTATTAATTAATGTTGTGCTTTACTATCTCCGATGTATACATTTGTAATTTTTTGAAAAAAAAAAAATATTTAATTCCGTAGATATACAAAAGATTTATTTTTATATACCGTGAAAAAAAAAATATTTTTTTTCTTCTTTACGACCAGAGTTGTTGACGACAGGTTTCTTAAATAAACAGAAAATAATTTTTTCATTCTGTTTGGAGCTTGGACATAATTTATTTACTGGTAATTTTTTGCTCAAGCTTAACACTTCATAATAAAGCAATGGGAGCTAATCAGCTGAAAATTAATACATAATCTAAAGTCTGTAATTTTATACTCGACTTGCGGGATAGTCTGCAAAAGTTTTATGAGATTTTAAGAAGATTTTGCTAACGGGTTTGAAGATTTTATCGAATTATTTTAGAATTTTTGTCTAGGAAGTTCGATGGGGGGTGTCCAATTTTATCGATTGGTGGTGTTTGGAGAAGTGTGATGATGATTAGAGGACATTGTTCTCTGGAAATTGTGTTACGTGCTTGTAAAGATTTTTTTGGGATGCATCTCGAATAGGTTTGGGAAATAAATTGTAAAAAGTTAAGCCTTGTCCATAATTAGTGATATCTGGCTTCTGGAGGGATTTAGATTCTTTTTCTATGCATTTAAAATTTTGTATTATCCAATTTTTAATCACGTGATCCTAGAGTAACCAATCTAAGCTTGCTAGGGCGTCTTATGTACCGAAAGAGGATGAGGTACCAGTGTAATATCCTAGAATATGGAAACGATGACCCTAAAAATCGATACCAGAGTACTGAAAAGTCTGTGTGCAACCACTCAGGCTCCTTAATAGTTACGCCCTCACCTTTCAGCAACCTATAATCCCAACACTGTCCTAAACACACAATTTAATGATCAACTAAATAAATAAAGCGCACAAAATAATAATTAATGTTTTCAAAGTATTTTACTACATCCAATAATTGTCAATGAGTCTGTCCCCATCCATCTCGTAACTTTTCTATAATTCTGTGTAAACGTTCGACGGAGGAAATAATTTTGTAAAATATGAGACACATTATCTGTCAATAAATATTTTACAGACAAATAAAAGAATGAACATGAAGACAAGAAGGGAATGACGAGAATTTTTCATTTAAATTTACTTTTGATTAACTGCAGTCAGTCATTCTTCCAGTCATACAACCGAACAGATATTTATTTTTACATACTTGAAGATTGTGAGAGACATAAGTCTCTTCTTTTATTCTCTCACTTTGTATTTTTTACTATCAAAAAAGACGAAGAAGAATTTCTTTTGAATTTAGAAAAAAAAAGTTGAAAAATTGAAATTGACGATGGGACATCAGGGAATAAGAATAAGAACGTGTAGGAATAAGAAGAAGAATTCATCAACATGCTGCTATGATTGTAGCTAGTGCGCGACATGAATAATCATTAATGCATGTTGTTAATTCGAAATGATGGAGTATCGGAAATTAGAAAGGAATCGAGGTGTTATTTAAGGGCAATATCACCAGAGTCTCTATGCAGCCATAATGTATGAGGCGTTAATTAGATTTCTCCATAATTAACGACTCATGCAACAAGCTAATCATTTTTTAATGGCAGAGCAGAGGATCTTCGTGCATCTTTTAAGTATTTGCAATTCATAGTTCCTTTACAAACAGTTCTTTATGTATTTATACAGTGTAACAACTGCATATGTCGTTGACTGTGACAACGACGAAATGGACTGATAATAAAGTGAGGAAAAAATTGTTTTTTTTTTTTTATATTCGTGTACGGCAGCGCTGCACACACAATTCTTGAATAAATAAGTAAATACGTGTGCACATAAAGCACTTCAACTGCTGTGTTTAAATTTTTAAATAAATTTAGTAAGGATGCTTATTGTTGTTGGGGGGTTGCATTTGACGCATTTTGTGTGTGTCAAGGTCAAGAATATTTTTGAGAGTTTTTTCTTAAATTAATGTTGAGAGTTATTATTGAGATGTGAGAGGAGGAATTGATTAGTAATGAGAATTTAGGAGAATCACATCAGTTAACTCATCGAAGTGTTAAGAGTAAGTTTGAGTAAACGTTCTGCAAAGGAACAAATTAGCCTTGGCTAATGCTTGACGCTTATTAAGATCAAAAGTTTAAGTTTGAATCTCAAAACTTTAAAAAATCACAAAAATTCACAAGTTTATCCTCAAACACACAACAATCAACTAAAGGTCACATCCAATTCCCTCAAGATCATGTTCTTAATCATCCGATAATCTCCGTTCCGCGAAGGCACCTCACAACACTTAACAAACAACATTCCAACCTGACAAAGTGGATATTGCACTTGCATCAGAAGTAGTTCACCGAAAATAAAATTCTCTTCTTCGTATTTTACTTTTTTTCGAGACAAGGAACCAAAAAGAACGGTGGTGTGTGGAAGTGAGATGGAGATAGATATGGGCCGATGATATTGAAGAAGAAATTCTTGTTTGTTCATTTTCATGTTACCAAAAATGGATTATTGCATTGCACCATACATTCACAGCAGGTTGGTAACAGAAGCGAATTCCGAACAATTGTTAAAGTTCAGTTTTGGGGAACTTATTTTTTTCTCTTTCTAAATTCAGTTCTGATGAAAATATCACGTGGCGATGATCACTTTAGCACTGATTATTAATAATCGAGCATTGAAGCGAGTCCCTCTCCATTCACTGTGTGTCTTATTCTCCTTCTTCTCCCCAAAAAAACCCTGAAATTTTCATCTTCGGTTGTCGCATTTGATAAATTGAAGAGTCTCTCGTGAATAAAACTTACGAAAAAAAAGAGCAAATCGTTTAAGAAACTTTTTTTTTTGTTTTATTTCATGCAAGCAAAATTCTAAATTTACCGCACGTTTATAAATCTACATTCATTTGAAGGAACAAGAAGACATCATTTTTTATTAAAGAAGTTCAGAGTTGGGGTCGCGGGCGTAACTAGAATTTTTTTAAGGGGGTTCGATTATTTTTTGTATTGACCCTAGTTAATTTTCAGGTTTTGACATCGACCCGTACCAGTAACCACACTCTTGGTTGAGCTAGTTTGTTAAACATGACATTGCTTCCATTTCTCATTAATACTTAAGTTTAAATGTTATCAACAGCATCAATTCAAACATCTCTGTCTTCAAGTACATCTCCTCCTAACACACTTGAAATTATTTTATTTTATTTCATTTATTTCATGGGCATGATGATAATAAAGAAGAAGAACAATTCGATTCTCCCTCTTTTTATTATTTTGATGATCATGAAAACTTTATTTTATTTTGAAAAGGAACATCGCGAGTGAATAAAATTCAATAGACGATGTTTAATGAAGGAAAGAAACATGACAGAGACGATTGTGTGCAGATTTGCATATCTTTAACGTATAATTGAATAATTGTGTGTAATGAGTTGAGACTGATTTTTTTTTGAGATAAATTGGATTTTGAAGAACTAGTCGTGAAGTCATAAGCCCCATAAAAAATGACTTCATCCACAATAACTATTAAATTATTTACGACATTTTCTTATCACAAAATTTTAGTTTATTTTTAAGAAGTGTCATGAGCTATGCGGACGTTGATAAGATAAGTCGTAGCTGACAGTAAATGACTTTCAATGCACTCCATAATTTCATTATTATTATTTTTTGTTTCATTTAATTCAATGACGTGTTCAATTCATTCGTCTACATCTTCTGTTTTTTTATTCATCAACTCTTTATATGCTTACATGCTCACTCATGAGATAATTATGGACATTACAATGCTAATGGTATATTGTGGTATTTTCAATAATGTTTTTTCATACTCATTTTATGTGATTATTATGTGAGAGATCGAATGTCAATGTTGAATCATAAAAATTAGCCTGGATTTGTCTTTTGTGGGGCTGTTTGGAAATGACGTCGATTGAATAGTCGTGTAAGATGCCGGCCTATCCTTGTATAATAGTAATTTATGAGTCATTAGCTTTGTACTGCTCATTATGTCGACTATTGTGAACTACTTAACCAATAGCTAAGTCTGCAGAGCTGGTGGTAAGTGTTCAGAGCTAGTGGAAGGTTAACTGAACTATAGCTTAGTTTACAGAGCTAAAGTCGGGTTTACATAGCTAAGAACGTGTCTTGAGGGCTATTTAAAGAGACTTAGTTTTAAATATAGTCTTGTGTAGTACTTTAGTTTATATTTAAAATATGCACTAGACTGTATCCTAAAGTTTTTCAAGCTATGATTCAGATCTAGATGAATTCGGATCCCTCCAGCTATTGCTGACGTAATTTTTCATCATCCCAATGTACTAGAATGTATAATTTCAAGGGCATTACAGAAAATACACTAATGCATTAATCTACTTTACATCTTTACTTAGTTTACTCACAGTAATCATCATCT